TTGCTGCAATGTTAAAGCATTGAAGAATGAACAATTCATGTATGAACGAGAATCTACATTCGCCTTGTTTGTTCCATATAGCAAGCTGACATTTTGATCCATCTCTGCTATGACCCAGTATCTTCCCACGTGAGACCCCCTGGGTTGCATTGTTTCTTGCAGAGCAGGCGTCCATTTCTTAATGTCTACGAAGAATATCTGTTCTCAAAAGAAAATATGGCCTTTCCACACATGGTTCAGCCATTTAACCTCCATTTTGTGTGGAAGTCATTTCTATTGCACTCTAAACAACCACAGCGTTCTTGGCTTTTCTTTGCAACGACGGTCTCTGTACCGCATAACAACACTAAGACTGGCCGAAGCAGGGTACAGGAATATATTTCATGGAAGAGTATGCTTCATTTTTGGCACAAGTAGTGATTAGGCTGCCAAAGGCATTGGAATGAAAGGAAATTTTCGACTCGATGACACCATCGCTGCGAGTATGAAAGTCATATACTAGATAAACTGATCCGCTTGTTGGCCGATGCACCTCTCCATTATATTTACAGATCTGTTGTATTGGATGAATTTCCCTAAACTTTTGGGTTCTGTAGTTAAGAAGAGAGAGATGGCGAAGCCCACTTCCTGTATTGCTACTTATCATTGAAACGACATCTGCATACGCAACATCAGCATCACCTCTAGTCTCCCAACCTATAACGATGCTGTATGACCATCGATAAGCACACAATAATCAGGGTTAATCAGTCGGTATATCATCGAACTTGAAGTCAACAGTCCTGGAATCAAACTCCCGTCAATTCACTGGCACTCCATCTTCCTGAGGGGAAACGAAACACGAAGCTGGGAGTGCATTTGTTACATACTTATAGACATTTTCCTCTTTATAAGGTGGTATTCCTGGGTGACGGCATAGAAGCGACAAATCGATACTGCACCATAGCTCTATGAAAAGAACAGATCCGTAACTGGCGCCCTCATGAATGTGTATGGGAGACCGACATTGCGACGGACAAAAACTTTC